ATCTTATATTACAAGTAGTTTTTTTTCTTTCTTTCTGTCTTTTTATGAGTGTGGATCTAGCCTTTTAAGAGCCAGTGCAATAAAGCTCAGACCCAACCTTCCAGACAGATTCTATACTGCAGCTATACCTAATAAACAGCCCTCAACTGCTCAGAGATCTGGGGAATGTGATATTTAAGTATTTAATTATTTAAAAAACTTTTCATAACGAAAAGAGACAAGTTGGCTCCTATCAGCAGACTCTTATTTCCTCCAAAGAAGACAGAAGACAAATGGGCGCAGAACAACGTCCTTCTGCAGTTCACTGAGCACTGCTGAGCGCTGACCATTAGGAAAAACTGCCTTTCATCTAAACTAAAGACCTTTAGATGTGGACGGAATCGCCAGAATCGACAGCCCAGCTGCTCAGGTCAAGGTAGGCCTGTCTTTCTACATATTTCTTAGCCCACAGGGTCTTCTGGAGCCTGGCAGGCCTGGTGCTAACCAGCAAAGGTCAAGTGCAACCTTCAGCGACCATGGAGGACCCAAAAAGAGTAGCTCTGGGTGCCAACTAAGTAAGTTCTCTGTCATTTTTTAATCGGTAACTCAAGAAAAATCTTATCCTTCTCAAAGATCTCTGACAGTTTGGTAGCTGAGAGGTTTTGCCAGGTTGAGGTTTTGCCGGTTACCTCACCAAACAAATTTCAAATCAAATTTCTTAAAAAAATACTTTTCATTGTACAAAATAAGCCATAGTCATTGTATGTCTAAAACTTCTGTTTTCATAAACCCAAGCAGTTCTTGTGAGTTCCAGGGAGCCAAATTAAAGAATCTACCTTAAACAGGTCAGATACCCCCTCAATTCCCTAGTCCAAAAATTTTTTTTCTTTCATTTAACTTTTTTTTGTTCTGCCAATACCTTAAACAGGATAAAGGACACCAGACATTTCCACACCACAGACACTGGTCAGAAGCAAAGAAACCAGCCATGCCAGGAGGTTCCCAGCACACAGCCTTCTCAAGGACCGCCCCCCCCAAGACAATGCCCACAAATCAGCCGGAAGCAGTCTTGAGAATTCACTGCCCCAATTCCTTCAAACTTTGGTGTCTAACCTCCTGCTTTCATTATAAGCAAAACCTGGGAATGTTCTTCTTTCAGTCCCTGGTCACTTTAAGGGACAAGCCACACCCACTCCCAGCTACCTCTGACCTCTCTTCACCATCTTGAATTCCCTCTCTTGCTGTTCCCTTTTGGTGTGTGCACACGTGTTTTTTTTCTCTCTGTCCCCCCCCCCCTTCTCTCTCCTTCTCTCTCTCTTTTAAGGAATAAATGTTCTTTATGCCTATTTACTGTGTCTATGTGCCTTTTACCTGCCACCTGTTTGCACCCAGCCCACTCGGGGATCTTGCAGTTCCCAGAGCCCGCTGCCTTCCCCGCCATGTGTCTGCCCCTCGCTGCTGGGAATCTGCACCCCTCTGGCAGCCGTCTCTGGGGACTCGCCAGCATTTCCTGCTGCTAGCTGCTCGGGGAACTGCCCGGGGATTTAGGAACATGGAAAAAAGGAATATTACCTAGGACAGTTATCATTCTGTTTAATAATGGCTCAGGTTCCCCTTGCGTTGCTCTCAGACATTAAGATTTATTAGGTCTTGTTAAACACTTATTTTAAGACAGCAGGAATACATGCAGACAGAATATTGTAATAAATATATAAATATTTTAAAAAATAATTGAAAAGAGAATAGTGGGGGTTTATACTCATTTCATACTATTGAGAATATATTATACCAAGAGTATATATCATTGAATATATATTATACCAAAAGAAAAAGTGATGCACACAGATGCACAAGTAAGGTTACAGCTGCTGATAAGTTCGTACGTGGAACTTACCTTTGTATTTAAGTAAATGCCCCTTTGGTTTCTTTGAAGAGACCATTTATGTTTTCAACAGGTTTCAGGTTTAAGCAGTTGTACCTTTTGCGATATTTGTGAGGCTGTAAAGATTCAGAAAGGATATTCTAGTGAATAATTTTCTGACTTCTTTCAGGCTGGGTGGAGTGAATCTCTGCACATTGAGGTGTCAGCAGACATCAGAAGATGTTTGTGTTCTGACAAAGAAATATCTGTATCAAGTCTAACAGTCAGCCTTCATAAGGAATGTATCATAAGGAGAAGCAGTGGCATAATATAACCCTTGGTTATTACTGAGTCAGAGCAGAAAGGGTATCGGGACTATTATGGATTGTGGGTGTCAGTTTCTCCCCATAAAGGTGCAAGTAACTAGAGGAGTTAGTAATTCTCTTCTCAGTTAACATAAACCATAAAGTCCCTTAATAATTTTTATTCACCTGTGAAAAACAGCAGAATCTCATTGAGTCTGTTAGCTATATCCTTTCTGAGTGGCCCACGCCCTCTGTTTCTGTATGAGATGGCTTATGCTTGATTTAGGAGCATATGTACAAAGCTGTGTGGCTCAGAGCATTACTATAAGCAATAACAGTTTATAAGCACCCTATTTATTCACATGTATCAGTTTGAAGTATGACATAAAATGTTTTTAAATTTGTAAAGAAAGTATAACAAGAGAAGAGATATGAAAGGGTATAGTTATAAAATGCATGTTGGTAAAGAAGGTTAAAGAGAAAGAATGCTATCAGATGTGATATAGATATGAATAATTACATTGGTATAAATTTTACTCTATTGGTAAAAGTTAAGGTCAATTTTGTTCTATGTATATGTATTTCTGATTTTGATTAAGGTATTGTGATTGTGTAGTTCATTTAAAAATGTAATATATAATTAGGAAATATAGGTTGCTAATGGATAATCATCGATAATAGTAAAGCTTGTAGTCATGTTAGTTAGATTTTCTAGATATATAGAGATATATTTTAGTTAGGCATTTTTCATATCTTTCAAAGACTGTAGAATATGGCATTTAAGATATTTTAATAACTTAGGGCTTTTCATGACAATGAGACACGTCTGCTCCTGGCAGCACCAATCTACTTCAAGAGGAAGATGGGCATTAAAGAGTCTCCTTATGGAGTTTGATAGCCATTTGGGCAGGAAACTGCTCTTGCCTGGACTGTTGCATAAACTGGATGCAAAGAACCCACAGAGAGAGGACTGCTGAACTTGCCAAAAGGTGAGGTGGTCTTTTGGGTTTCCTGATCTATGAAAGAGTCTACGAGACATTCTGCATGACACAGCAGAAAATGACTGAACTGTCTTTGGAATTTTCTGCTTCATGGAAATGTCTGCTGGATACTATGGGCCTGTAGGCTGGAGATGGATGCCCCAACGGTACAGAGAAACTTTGGATGACTGTCCAGGCAGTGAGATGTCTCTGTCATTTCTAGAGTTTTGGAAGTTGTTTACTTCTTGTTTGCTTAGGTAATATTATATCCTTCTAGAGTCTTTGATGGAGTTGAAGAATGGTTAGTTATAGTTATAGTTTTCCTTAGTTATAATAAAGGATAAAATAGATATAAATATTGTAACTGTAATTTTGCTTGATAACTGGTTTGTTATATGTAATCTTACTATGTTAAAGTGAAAGCCTTTTTTGTTTAAACAGAAAAAGGGGAAATGATGTGGGAGAGTCTTCTATTTTTTGTTGATTTCATTGGTTAATAAACTGACTTGGCCCTTTTATAGGACAGAAAATTAGGTAGGTGGAGTAAACAGAATAGAATGCTGGGAGAAAGAAGCCGAGTCAGGCAGTCACCATGGTTCTCGGAACTGAGACAGATGTAGGGTAGAATCCTTCCTGGTAAGCCAGCATCTCGTGGTGCTACACAGATTATTAGAAATGGGTTAAGCAAGATGTGAGAGTTAGCCTATAAGAGGCTACAGATAATGGGCCAGGCAGTGTTTAAAAGAATACAATTTGTGTGTTGTTATTTTGGGTAAAGCTAGCCGGGTGGCTGGAAGCAGCCTGCCATTCCACCTATACAGATGCGAAAGAATTGTAGGTGGTAGTTTTGTCCTAACGTAAGCAGTGTTCCAAAATGTACATCAAAATTGAGGACATGGAAAGGTTAAGCACATTATAGAAGGTCTAAGTTAAAAAGGTCTATGAGAGGTAAAACTTGAGGAAAGATAGTATTTATTACTAAGTTTATATTTATGTTCTACAGATGCTTAGTGGATAAAGGTACTTGCCACCTCACAATGCAAGCCAGGTGACCAGAGTTCCATCCCTGGAAGCCTCTTGAAGGTGGAAGGAGAGAACTAACTCCATATGCCGTCCTTTGACTTCTGCATGCATGTTGAAGCATGTACCACATGACCATACAATAGTAATAAAATGTATGACTTCATTATAATTAAAGATTATTTTTAAAGTCCTAACAACAGATATCATTTGATGCTTATTTCATTCATCATTCTACTCTGGACATTAGGAAGAAGCTACAGAAGCAAGAAACAAGATATAAATAATCCAAGATAACTTTTGAATTTGGCTTTTGGATTTTTCTAGAACAAACTTGAAAGAGAGTCCAAAAGGGGAAAAGATCACAGACATGAGAGAAAGCAGAATCCAACTGGGACCCTGCCTAGTAATGGTTTTGTAACAAAGGTCAGCTGTCATAAATAAAGGGCGGGGCAGGCCTCCTTGCCCAGGTTCTGAGTTTTCATTCAGTTTCCCACCAGTGTTGGCAGCATGTGGATCTAGTCCCTACTGTACTTTGTCTTTACTTTTTTTTGTTGTTTCTACTTTTCTATCATGTCTTTACTGCACTCTGGTGCACTAAGGCTTTTCTTCATGTGGCAACTGGTCCTGGCTTTTTCCATTCCAGAGTTCACTGGGAACCCACGCCAGTTGACATCAGAGCCCTGGGTGCTAACCAAACTCTGGTCTTGGCACTCCTCTGATCATCCACCTAAATCCCCACATACTCGAGCACCCGAGACAGACAAAGGGGGCACTGAGTATCTGGGGCACCCTGCTCCCAAAGAGATGTTGGCCCCACTTGAGGAGTTGACTGACAATTTACTTCTATTCCAGGACCCCAGCACTTCTCGGGAGTCGAACCCAGAGCCTGCGGAACTTGGTGTTTCACATCAGCATCTGACCAACAAGCTGATACCACCTGGGAAGCAGCCAGAGAACATTTTAATGCTAAATGGGGATCAAATTCAGGCTCCCATTCTGCATTCACAGTTCAAAAGTACTGCCAGTCTAGCTGAGGCTGCAGATCATCAGTTGGAGGCAATACTTGTTCAGCCGCTAGACAGCCAGAGTTCAAAAGCAACAACCTTCATGGTTTCACCCAAGGAGTTGAAGAAAGATTTAACTCAGCACAGGAAACTTGCTAAGGTGGTTGATGGAAAACCTCAATTTCACAAACAAACCAAGGATGATGATTATGGTGACCTGAATATGAATGAAGCTTATTCTTACAGCCTTCCTCTGCAATCCCAGGAAAATGCAGATGAAGCTCCAGAGTTCCTAGAGCAGGATGAACCTGACCAGTTGGAGACACAAGTTCAAAATACAGAGAATCTCCATCAGGAAGCTCCAGATTATTTCCCACAGGAAGATGAACCTTTAATCCAAAAAGAAGACTCAGCTCACCATCAGCTTCCTTCTGAGGAACCATCAGTTCATCCTGAAATACGTGGTCCACCTCCAAATAGAAATGAAGCTCAGCACTCAAACCTGCCAAATGTGACAGTGAATCCTGTGGCTTCAGAGGCAGCTAAGGAGGTACAAGCTATTCTGGGCCAGCAACAGACCCTAGCCCAGTTTCCAGAGAGTTCTGAGTTGTTGGAACCTTCATCAACCCAACAAGAGGCCCCAGCTGAGATTTTAGAGCTTCCTGAGAACCTTGGAAATTCTGGTAGCCAGCTAAAAGCTCCAGCTCTGCCTACAAAGCTTCCCGAAGAAACCAGTCCTCTAGTTGAGCAAGAGGGTACAGTTCCAGTTCCAGAATCCTCTATGCAGAGTATAACTGAAACTGTAGTGACCACAATTCAAAACCCTAGTCAGGCTCAATTTCTCCATTATACTTCGCCCATGATTACAGGTAAGCCTGCAGATATGGAACCTAAAATAACTTCTGAGCCTAGAACAGAGAATGAGTCATCTCCATATGAGGAGGAGACTCCAACTCAGACTCCCGGTCCTCTTGTTGAAACTGAACATTTCCCCAGCCAGCAGCAGCAGCCAACTGAACCTTCTGAGTATTCTGAGGAGGCTGAATCTTCTGGAGTTGATTTGGAGTCTCCAGTTCAGCCTCAAGAGGAAGCAGAGGAGTTAGGACCTTTACCAATGCAGCAGGAAGATTTATCTCAACATCTAGGTCCTATTCTGGAGGATGACTCTAATCTCAGTGAACTAGAGCAACCAGGTCAACTTTCTGAGTCTCCTGAGGAGGTAGAATTGGGTTCTGGAAACCAGCCAGAAGCCTCAGTTCAACCTGCAGAGCTCCCTCCAGTTGAACAAGAGGCTCCACTTCAAACTCCAGAGTCCCCTATTGAGAATGTGGTTGAAACTCCACCAATTCACAAAGTCCAGCCAGATCGAAATGAAGAGCACCATTATTACTTACCACAAGTTACAGTGAGACCCGTGGATGTGGCACTTACCATAACTTCAGAACCTACCAAGGAGACTGAATCTTCTCTGACACAGCAGGTGTCCCCAGTGCATCCTTTGGAGTATACTGAGCAGATGGAACCCTTTCTCCATGAGGAGAAGCCACCAGCTCAGGCTTCTGGGCCTTCTGGAGAGAGTCAATATCAAAGCCAGCTGGAGGTACCAGCTCAAGCCTTAGAGTATGCTGAAGAGTTTAAACCTTCTGCAACTGAGCAGGAACAAGCAGCTCAGTCTCCAGAGCATCATGAAGCGACCGTTTTGCCTCCAGGTCACTATCAAGCTCAGCATTCTAGCCTGTCTTATGTGACTGGTCAACCTCCAGATCTGGAGATTAAAGTAACAGAGAATCCTGTAGCTGCGATGGGAACTGTGTACCATGAGGCTACAGCATCTGAAGAGGTTGAACTGTCAACACAACAGGGTGTTTTATATCAGTCCCCAGAACCTATTCTGCATCATAAACCTCTAAGCCAGCAAGAAGACACAACTGGAATATCACAGATCTCTGAAGAAGGAAAACCCTTTCCAGCACAACAGGAGACTTCAGAACAGACGCTAGAGCTGCCCGATGAAGAACTTCCAGGTTACCATGGGGTAACAGTTTCATCCCTGGATCATGGTCAAGTTTATTTTTCAGCATCACACAATATCCCAATTGATCAACAAACCAACTCAAAACAGGATTATCATTCTCCAGTTGGTCAAGGAGTCCCAATCCAACCAGAAGAATTTTCTGAGGAACCATATCCAAGTCAACAGGGGAGCTCAACTTGGCCTTCAATAACAGATAGGTTTTTCTCATCTGCAGATCTAGAGACAACATTCAGAACTGAACTTCCAAAGTCATATAAAACCACTGTTAAATATGTGGACCTAGAACTTACCATAACCCCAGAACCTTCTCTGAAGGATGGATCAGTTCCATTTCCACAAGAAGACTTACGTCAGCCTATAGACTCCAGTGAGAAAGGTAAATTTTCACAGATTCAGACTAATGCCCTTTCAAAGCGTCCATATTTCTCCAAAACTGAATCTCTAGGCTTCCAGGAGGCCATAGCTCAGACAACACACCACTTTAAAGAGGTACAGTTTTATTCAACTCAACAAGAAGACTCAGAACTGCCTCCAGGTCACATTATGGGAGTAAGACCTTCTTTACATCAGCAAACAACCCTATCTCATCCCATAGACCTCCATGAGAATACGAAACCATTTCTGGCGCTGAAGCCCACTGCAGCTCAGACTTTAAAACTCCGTAGAAAAGGAAAATTTTCTCTAACCCATAAAGTGATTCCACACCCTCCAAAGCCACTGAAAAATATTGTAACTCACATTCCAGCACAAAAGATGACTGTTCCAAGGCCAGATCAGGATCAAGTTGAGTATACACTATCACCTAATGGTTTATTTCAGCCTTTGGACCTAGGAGTTACTGTAACCCCAGGAGAGCCTCAGTATCCTACAGTTCCAAAGCACCCTCAGCTTCCAAATCCAAATGAAGCCACAGTTCAGCCCTTGGATCTGGAACTCACAATAACTTCAGAGCCTACCAGAGAGCCTCAGGATCCAAACCTAACTGAAGTCACAGTTCAGCCTTTGGATCTGGAACTTACCATAACTCCTCAAACTACTGCTGATGGAGAACTTTCTCAAACTATTCCAGAGACCACAAGTATAATTACAGAACCACCTAAGGAGGTTGTAGCTAAAGAGCAGGAATATCAAGAGGCGACAGTTCCAACACAAACTCAGCATGAAATTGTTCCTTCATCTCAACCTTTGGATCTGGAACTCACCATAACTTCAGAGCCTACCAGAGAGCCTCAGCATCCTACAGTTCCACAGCATCCTCAACATCCAAACCCAACTGAAGCCACAGTTCAGCCTTTGGATCTGGAACTCACCGTAACTCATAAAACTACTGCTGAGGGAGAACATTCTCAAACTATTCCAGAGACCACAAGTCCAATTACAGAACCACCTCCAGCCCCAGTATATCAGGAGATGAAAGTTCCAACACCAGGTCAGGATCAAATTGAGTATCCAACAACACATGTTGTATCATTTCAGCCTTTGGATCTGGAACTCACCATAACTTCAGAGCCTACAAGAGAGGCTAAACATCCTACAACTCCAAAGCACCCTCTGGTGATATATCCAGAACGTATTCACTCTCAACATCCAAACCCAACTGAAGCCACAGCTGAACCTTTGGATTTGGAACTTACCATAGCTCCACAGCTTACTACTGAGGGAGAATTTTCTCAGAGCATTCAAGAGACCACAACCCAGATTACAGAACCACCTAAAGAGGCTGTAGCTCTAACCCCAATATATCAGGAGGTGACTGTTCCAATACCAACTCAGGATCAAATTGTTGTATCATTTAGGCCTTTGAATCTAGAACTCACCACAAGTTCAGAGCCTACTAGAGAGCCTCACCATCCTACAACTCCAAGGGAGACTACAGTTCTTCCTCCAGAGTACCCTCTGGTGATATATCCAGAGCCTGTTTACAGTAAGCACACAACTCAGATACCTGAAGTCACCGTTCAGCATTTGGATCTAGAACTTACTGTAACTTATCAACCTATTAATGAGGGAGAACTTTCACAAAGTATGCAGGAGAGCACAACTCAGATTACAGCACCACCTAAAGAGGGTGTAGTTCAAGAGGTGACAGTTCCAATACCAATTCAGGGTCAAGCTGAGAATCCAGCACCACCCAGGATCTCATCTCAGCCATCTCAGCCTTCTCAGCCTCCTACAGGAACTTACTTTTGTCCAACTCCACAGCAGACTAGAGTTCACCATTCAGATCACAGTGTGATCCTGAACCCAGAAGTTTTCGTTCCTCGTACAAGAACTCCAACTAAAACCGTAGTTAACCTTGATCATAACTCATCTACTCTAGAAAACAGTCCTGAAAATTTGCAGAGTACCACTGCTGAAGTTAGAAAACCACCTAATGAGTTTGTAGTTCAAACTCGAGGATATGAGGAGGGCATGGTTCAAGGTCTAATTCAGAGTAAAGCCGAGTATCTAACAAAACCATATCATCCCTTAGACATGGAACACACTGTAACTGCAGAGCCTACTAAAGAGGCTCATCATCCCACAGCTCTCAGTGAGACTACAGATCGTCCAGTGCATTCTCAAGTGACACCTCTAGAACAGGTTCACATTCAGCATCCAAACACAACTGAAATCACGGTTCATCCTTCAGATTTGGAAGTTACCATAACTCATCAACCTACTACTGAGGGAGGACTCTTTGAACCTATGCAAAAGACCTTCTCTCAGCCTCCACAGCCGCATGAGGGGCTTGTTACCAAAGCTCCAGTGTTCCATGATAGTAAAGCTGCAATGCCAGGTTATCAAACTCAGCATACAGTGTCACCTGAGGTCCAAGTTTACCATCTTGATGTAGAACATGCTTTAACTGAACTATCTAAGATAGAGAGTGAACCTTTGGAAGCCCCAGGGAATGTTACTACCCTTCCTCTAAATAACCCTGAAGAGGTACTCCCACTTGATGAGAAGATTCAGGTTCAAAATTCAAACCTACCTCAAGTCACAGCTCAGTATTTACACTCAGAATTTTCAATAACTCGACAACCTAATACAACGGTTAAACGTTCTGCCCCTATGAAGGACTCCCCAGCTCACACTTCTGAGATACCTATGGAGACTGAGGCTCAATTTCTAGAACATTATGAGTCAATAGCTCTAACTTTAGTTCATGTTGAAGTTCAGCGTTCAGATTCATCAACTATAGAGACTAAACCTTCTGAAGTCCTAGAGACTGCAGCTGCTTCTACAGAGGCTGCACAGTATGGAGTCTCAACAACTACAGCTGTTTCTCCAGAAGCTGCACATTCTACAGTCCCAACAACTACAGCTCCTACTAATTCCACTACAGAAAGAGATTTAACTATGGAACAAAATGCCTACATGTACGTCAACGTATGTGAGTTCTGCTTGTGTGAAAATGAGACACTATCGTGTATTCATCTCAGCCCAGAGCGGAGACTCCACCAAGTGCCTGTGCCAAAGCCCGACTCCTACAACAACACTTTTGCTAACTTGTAAGACTCACCTTTATTTCTGTTTTACATTTGCCTGACATAGTACCTTTTTCTTCAAAGCTTTCCTGGGCCTCCTTGTCACTCTAATTCTCATTGATTGACTTTCTGCTCTTACCTTGACTTGCCAGCTTTTCTTTGTCCTCAATTTTACTTCTTCAGTATCCCTTCTCCAGTCTTTTATTCATGATAGCCCTTCTTATTTTTCTGTATTCATTTTTCTTTAGTTCCATTATATCATTGCGTAACCTTTGTTCTTCTGTTTCATTCCATCCTCTTTATAATTTATTTCAGTGAGGATGTATCAGAGTGATTAGATTCTGGAGCTGGACTCATGGGGTTTGGCCTAAGCTCTGTAACCCTGCATAAAGTATTTAGCTGTGAATTAACTTCCTCACCTGTAAAATGGGAAGTTTGATGGCTCCTGTTTCATAGGACTGTTGTGAGGTTTAGTTGACTACATGGAATACTTATCTTAGTTCTTAGCCTACATGAATGTTAGCTTTGTAATCTTAGTTATGTCCAGAGCTCATTCTTGTTCCTGGTTTTCTAATATTTTTCATGTATTGTGTGCACTATTCAGGGATAAGAAGTATGACAGCCATATATGTGTGGCATTTTCTCAGGAACATGAAATAATAGATGGGGGAAAGGTGAATGGTTACATTAAAACTTTCCCTTTGGTTCAAAGAGTGTCTCATTTTTAAATAAAGTAAAAATAGGTATTACAGCATAGCCAAAGGCATAGCTTACAAAAATTGGGATTTAGTAGACTAGTCTACCAGAAAAGATTGAATTAGAAAACAGTGAGAGATATTATGAAATACTTTGAATATCAGTTCTAGTGGTTTGAAAGTCACAGTGCAATATGGAAGAAGAACCATTATAAATTTCTAAAAAATATTGAAAAAGTATTAAGAGGGTGGAACTTTGCTATGTAATACAGGCTGGCCTTGAGTTCATGATCGTCCTGCCTCAGTATCTCAAATGGAAAATACAGGCATGAGTCTTAACACTCAGATAGAGGATCATTTTATCATCCTCTTGTAGAATAATCCAGACAGGAAGCTTAATTCTTGATGACCATATATAAATATCGAGCAAAATCTAGGACTAAAGTGAGCAAGAGTTGGACCACTGTGGCTGTTACGGGAGTGGGAAGAAAACCCTGAATCCTCACAGAGTAAGAGAAGATAGGATTTAGTGAGTGATACTAGACATGGTTATGCACACCTTTAATGCCAGAACTTGAGATGCAGAGGCAGGTGGATCTCTGTGAGATTGAGGCCAGCCTCCTCTCCATAGTGAGTTCAATACGAGTCAGGGCTACATGGTGAGAGTGTGCCTCAAACAAAATTGGGGATTGAAGTATACAAATAAAAAAATGAGACCACAGTTTCTGTTCTAGATAAAGATAAGGATGGCAATTTAACAGATAGAGTCAGCAGTCAGGAATGAGAGTTCAGTTTTAGGCATTTTTTCTTATTAGTGAGCATAAAATCAAACAGTTTGGGATTGAGTGGGATGTCCACTATCAAGTGAGTGAATTTCTTTCTTCCCTATCACAAAAAAAAGTGTGTTTAAACTGAGCAAGAAAGTCTTCACTGAGTAGAACTAAAAGTAAATGCTTAAAGTGAGCCACAGAGTTGAAACTGAACATAAATTAGGTATTTAACAGTTTCTTTTAAGCATGTGCCACTCAAGGATATATTCCCATTTTTAAAAAATGTCATGGAGCTGGGGGGTGGTGGCACATACCTTTAATCCCAGCACTCGGGAGGCTGAGGCAGGCAGATCTCTGTGAGTTCGAGGCCAGCCTGGTCTCTAAGAGCTAGTTTCAGGACAGGCTCCAAAGCTACAGAGAAACCCTGTCTTGAAAAAACAAAAACAAAAAAAAAGTCATAGAAGCCTGGTGTATAGTATATACCCTAATACTAGTACTTGGGAAACTAAAGAATGAGAATCACAAATTCAAGGCCAGGCTAGACTATACTTAATGAGATCCTGTCTCATAATGAACAGAGGGCTAGGAATATAGCTCAGTGGTAGAATATTTGACTGGCACACAAAATGCCCTGAATTCCATTACTAGCACCTCAAAAAAGAGTGAAGGGTTGGGACAGCAGGGAGAGTCCTCACTTGTTAAAGTGGTCCAATTGCAAGTGTGAGGACTAGAGTTCAGATCTTCACAATCCATGTAAATGATAGGTTTATGTGGCAGTCTACCAATAATTACAGCCTTGAATGTCAGAAGCACACTCTTCAGAACCATCTGGCTAGCAAGTCTACCATTCTAGTGAACTTTCGGCTGGATTAAAGATTCCGTCTCAGTAAAGTAGGAGAATGATTGAAGATGCCCTAACATCAGACTTGGGTCTCCACATGCACACAAGTAAAATAGAAATGAAAGACCCAGAGTTTATAGGATAAGCTAGAAAATTCATTCCATGGAGCCTGTTGCTCTTCTTCTGTGTCCTCCAAACCAAAATAAACTCCAGTTACATTTTGTCATGTGTCCTTCCTTCCACAGGAACATTGTGTTGTTCACAGATGAGGTAAAACTTTCATTAGTGATGTTGTGCTTTTTCCCTAAGTAGCGTGACCAAGAACTATTTCCACACCAGCACATCACTTTGACTAATTCGAATTTCCTCCTCTTTCTAACACAGTGCTTCGACAGACAGCCCTCTGGCAAAGGTTTGATGGTGCCTATATCAGGGTTTCTTACTTGCTCATGATGATCAAAATTCACCTATTTTCCTGTTCAATTATTAATCACTATTTTTTATTGATTTGTAGAAGTACTTTATTTAAACGCAATTATTTTTGAGAAAAATACTTAGTAATTAACTAGCATTTTCTAACCAAGAGGCTGGTCGTATTCAAAGTTCAACTTGCAAGGAAGGTCTTAGCTTGCTCCAGCAGCCCTGTGTTGCTAAGTGTGCTCCCTCAGAAACTGACAGGTCTGGGAATTAGAAGATTGGTGGTTTTTTTCGTTCTGCATTGAACACCGCCATGAGGGTGCGATGATTTTACTGCTTCTGCTTAGTCTTTTCCTATTTACTCAAGTATATGAACTGTTTCTTCACAGGAATTTCCAAGGAAATTCTATTTCTTACATTGACAAAAATGTATGGAGAGCATACCGTTGGGCTGAAAAACTGTGAGTAGTACATATTCTCTCCAAATGTTGTACAATATTGGACCAAGGCCCTTACTTTTGGTCCAGATTTTGAGGTCAGTATGTCTGAGAAAATATATTTCCTCTGTTCTTCCCAGTGAATTTCTGCAGAATAGATAGCTAGACATGGAATCTTTAGGATAGAGATAGGGAATTTTAATGGCTTTAAGTAAAAAAAATGAATTGGTACTAATTGAACTTCTCTTGTAAGCTGCATAAGGACTGGGTGTGGTTCAGTGTTGGTGCGCTTGCCTGGTGCACGAGCCCTGAGTTGGAACCTTACCTTTGCAGGCAAAGTTTTTATTTTAAATGCGGTGTTTTCATTGAAAGGAAAATTTGTTTTCCAGTAGAAGCCATCTATGATGACATTTGTAATGGTTATAAATTAGTAAGAGGAATAGTGAAACCTTCCTTGTGCTATAATCCCTCAGATCTGAGGTAACTGCTACTCTGAGTTTGATATATATCCTTCCAGACATATTTGCATATAGCAAATATGCTGCTTTCCTTATCACTTTTACATAATTGATACCATCTGATAGCTTGATGTCTTCTTTCATGATATTTAAAGCTTCCTTTTCCATATGTAGAGGCTCATACTACTCATTTCCAGTTCTGTACAATATTTCATATAGGACTGAATTAAGCGTCCTGTATACCCCAGACAAGTGTTTCTATAGGCTAGATACCTAGAAATAAAATCTTTAGGGTGGAGACCATTACATATATAAAATTTTAATTGCTCCCAAAAGAGCTGATGACAATTTATGCTCTAGGCAATAGCATATGACATCTTGTATTTCTCCATCCCATGTCACCACTGGATGTTCTCCATCTGTTTGACGATTTTTGATCCAGATAACCTTTTAATCTTTCAGAAATCTCAGTGAAAATCACCTGACTGAATTACATAAGGATTCATTTGAAGGCCTGCTATCCCTCCAGATTTTGTAAGTTAATTAAGCACATCTATTTTTTATGATATAAATTATCTATGGATGAACAAGGGATTTGAATTAGATACTAACATCATTTCAAGCAATAAAATCGTTCAATTATTGACTGTAATCCCAACACTGAAGAGGTAGAAAATAGGAGGATTTCTACAAGTTGTGGGTCTTTGTGGTCTACATAGTGGGTTTCATACCAATTCCAGGGCTGCTTGGCAAGACCCTGGCTCTAAAGACAAAAAAATAATAAACAAACTCTGCAGTTATGTCAGTGGGGGGTGGGGCTTAGCCCATCTCATGAAAATGACTTCTATGCATTTTAAATTTCCATTTTTTCTTTTTCTTTTCCTTTTTTTGGGGGGTTTCAAGACAAGGTTTCTCTGTAACAGCTCTGGTTGTCCTAGAACTTGCTGTGTAAACCAGGCTGACCTTGAACTCAATGAGGTCCACCTGCCTCTGCTTTCCAAGTGCTGGGATTAAAGATATGACCACCACTGCCCAGCAGTGCATCTTAAATTTCTTAACTTCTATGGACAAGCTTCAGATTCAGATAGAAGCACTTCATTTGCAGGGGGTGTTAGTAAGGTCTGAGCAGTTACTGGAGTTCCCACAACCCTTGTTTTCTAAGACATATGCTTGTATTTGGATCTAGTCGGTCACACATCCATCAAGTCTGATCCATGCTCTCGTTTACTGCGGCCCATGAGTTAGGAATGGTTGACACCTTTAGAGAACTTGTGCCAGTGCCCTTTTTGTTGAGGGGACAGGGTGCCTGATGAGAACAGCTGAAAGGAGGCAAGATTAATTTGGCCCTTCCACTCAGAGGTTTTTGGCTCATGGTGGCTGGTTCCATTGTTTCTGGATTTGTGTGTGGGCTTGCAAACCTAACATGTTTACTAATTTATAATTTGCAAAAAGGGCTTAAGACAGCATAGTAGGATGTGAGAAATTAGTTTAACTTTGAAGAGTTGTATCAAAGAGAAGAAAATGCACAACTACATTAATTTGAAGGTCTTTAACCCAGAATGACAATGGCTTTGCCTCTTTGAGATATGGTCTCATGTAACTCAGGCTTGTCTTAAACTCTCTAAATAGCCAAAGCTGGCCTTGAATTCTTGAATCTCTTGCCTCTATTTCCCAAGTTCTAGGATTATAGGCATTCATTATTACATAATTTATACAATTTTGGGGGTAAAATTCAAGATTTTGTGCATGCTAGGCAAGCACTCTATCAACCATGATGATACCCCATGCCTTTTTTTTTTTTTGAGGCTAGGTCTCATATGTATCCCAGGCTGATCTCCAATTTGTAACAATCCTCATACTACTTCTGCCTCCCAAGTGCTAGGGTTGTGTGCATGTGCCATTCTATCCAGTTTCTTTAATAATTTAATCTGAATTTAATTGACACTGAAATACTAAATAAGTAACTAAATGCTAGATTGCATAAATAATATTACTAACATGATTAAGTCATTAGGAGAACAGACTGGTATTACAGTTTTTAATGTAATAATTTTTTATGTCCATGTGAAAATAGATATTGAATCGTGGTTATGAAATACTACAAAAGTTTCCTTGACGCAAACATACCAGAAGTGCTCCTGACATTCACTGATAAAACAATAAAGGATGAGCTGGGCTGTGGTGGCCCACGCCTTTAATCCCAGCACTTGGGAGACAAAGACAGGAGGATCTCAGTGAGTTCGAGGCCAGCCTAGTCTACAAGAGCTAGTTCTAGGACAAACAACAAAGTGACACAGAGAAACCCTGTCTCGAAAACAAAAAAACAAAACCAAATAGTAAAAGATGGGACTGGTAGCACATGTCTTGAACCACAGCACTGGAGAGGTGGAGGCAAGCAGATCTCTAGTTTGAGGCCATCCAGGACTACATAGTGAGAGTCATCTTAAACAAAGCCAGAAACATTTTCCTTCTCTGGACACTCAGAGAATGGCCACAATCGCACTGGTCCTTCTTTCGTATTGGTATTTTTGGGGACCTTTTGCATCTGAACTTCCAAACTGTACAAAATGTTTGGAGGAAATAATAAAATAACTGAGTAGAGTAGTCCTCTTCTTTATTTTAGTTTGTAAATAGTTGTTTCTTATTGACATAATTTACTGTCATTCATTTATTTAAATGTCCCTCAATTAAAAAAATGTACTAAAATAGAACATGCCAAATACTATGTCTATTATTGGAGGCATAGAGATGAATAAGCCTGGGTTACTTCCCTCTTAAAATTTACCAACTTCAAGAGGAACAAACCCATGAGTGAGTATGAATCTCAGTGCTGCAGAGATGGAGAGGCGTCAGCCATAAAGTCATACACTGAATTTCTTGCAAATAAGCCACTTTTCTTGAACTCACCAACTATGTGTTTATTTTGTAAATATTTGAGTTCACTCAAATATTTGTGTCAGTATCAAACTTGGTGGGCAATGTAGATGAGTTAGACTCCATGCTTCCAGGGGTTTGTGATTAGAAGAAGGGGTACAAAAATAATTTCAAAGCAGGAGAGGGCTGGATTTAATTAATCAGCAATTAAGAGCACTTGCTGCTTTGCAGAGGACCAGAGTTTGGTTCCCAGCTTCCACATCAGGGAACCCACAACCTCCTGTAGTTCTAGCTCCAGAGGATATGATACCCTTTTGGGGTCTTTGTGAGCACCTGCACAGACACATGGACACACACAAATAAATAAATAGAAATAAAATATTTTTTGAAGTAATGACGGATGGGGATAGGGCTTAGTGGGTAAAGCACTAGCCAGGAAAGCCCAGCAACCCATATTTGATCCTCCAAACCCACATTAGAAAAAGGACAGATGCAGTAGTGTGCATCTTTCATCCCAGGTCTGCTGCGAAAAGAAGGGGGCAGAGGAGAGAACTGGAAGCATCTTCAGTCAGCTAGCCTCCAGTCAGCAGTGTGGCTGAAACAAGAGAGTCCTGCTTCAACAAAGTGAAAGACAGGAACTGATCCCTGAAAACTGTTCTCTGATCTCCACACATTACAATTCATCCATTCATTTTTTTTTTGTCACTGAAGAATAAATTGTATCTAGAGTACAGAAGAGGAGAGAAGACATGAATTTGGTTTAGGGAAGCTGTTGCTACACCAATTCAATTGAATAAAACCTTGAAGAGTCAGTGGGAATCATCAAACAGGCCCTTTGGGGAGAACGTGTTAAACACTAATAACAATAGGGAAGAAAAAGGCAAAACACATCAAAGAGTTTGAGGAGTGCCATGAGCACCTTCACAGTATAAGAAGGAACAGGGCCAGACCTTCTTTGGATTTGAATACCAAATCCAGGAGGCATGTATGGGACCGTGGCACTGTAAAAAGGATACTCCTTGCATCACCTGGAGAGCTTGTTAGAACTTCATTATGACAACATCCCTGCTCCAGTTACCAACTCAGTATGTCTAGAACAGGGCTAATTTCTATCTTCTAAAGCCCCCGGAGGCCAAAGTTGTGCATGTGCATTCAGTGCTCAGGAGGCAGAGGTGAGAGGATTGGATTCTACACAGAAAGACCCTGTTTCAAAAACAAAAGTCACTTAATAATTCTTCTCTCAGGAAAGACTCTCTGAAATTTCCCATGTCTATAGCTATGTATTTATACATGAAGATCACAAAGGTTGAGATGTTTAGGATAGATGTGGATAGGGGTAGGGGCTCTAGAGATTTTAAGTAGAAATACAAAGTTTTAGAGTTTAGACAAAACAATAATATAACAATTCTGTTGTTTATTCATACTAATTAGATATCTAATAGCTAATCAAAGCAATATTTCCCTTTTACTTTTCCTAGGGATTTATCCTGCAATAAAATACGCTATATTGAAAGAGGGACATTTGAATCATTACCTTTTTTGAAGTATATGTAAGTTACAAACATAACCCATTTATATTTTGGATTTTATAACCCCTATGCTACTTAATCTGTTACATGATTAAAATTTTGCTAGTAGGAGATAGCCAGACTTAGAAGGACAATTGTTACATGGTTTCTCTCACGCTGGGGACCGAACCCAGGGCCCTGTACTTGCTAAGTAAGCACTTTATCAATGAGCTAAATCCATAACCCTTAGACTTACATGTAGATACGCATATATGTGGCATGAGTAGAAGATGGGCTATGGAGGGCAAGAAAGAAGTCTAGAAAGATTTTAAACAAGAGAGGACAATGAGAGAAAGACAAAATGTCATCTTTTCTATTAATTGAAATCTAGATTTCTTTTGTGTGTGTGTGTGTGTGTGTGTGTGTGTGTGTGTAGCATGAAAGGAAAAGGGAGACTCTGTGAGGAGAAAAGGTACAAAAAGGGATAATGAGTGGCAGTAAGGATAAGAAATAAGAAAGATACAGTATATGCATATATACATATACTACACACACGTATATATAATATAAACTGTCATGATGAGAAACCCATTATGTAGTGTACAAATGAAGCAAATTTTGTGGCTAATAGAAAGTAACTACATAGTAAATTGTGTGTGTGTGTGTGTGTGTGTGTACACCCATGTGGATGTGTGTGCATTTTCATGCTTATATAAATCACAGAACTTGAGTTCTATCCTTCTACCATGTGAGTCCTAGGGCTTGAACTCAGGCTTGGTGGCAAGCATCATTACCCACTGAGCCATCTCCCCAGCCCACATTCCTTTAGTCTGTGGTAAAAGTGAGTGAAACTTGAATCATAGCACACCTCTAGTTTTTAGTCCATGTGGCTGTGTACCCAGGTGACCCTTGGCAACTGGATTTGCAAAAGATATCTAATATGCAGACACCACAGATGTTATAAACATCCTCCAATGTATAGGACAAACCTCCATAGCAGAGTGGTCTAGCCTAGAATTTCAGTGGTACTGAGTTGTGAAACCCTTTTCTAGAGAAGGAGGGTCATTGAAAGAAGGATCTGCTTGTAATTCACTGTAGTTAGTGCATGGCATATCATCCACAATGAGATTTTCTTTGTGAGTCGAGAAAACATTGAAACCATTTCTGAGAAAGGTTATGTTTCATCATATGTATATTAGAGTGATTGTTAAATGATAACTGTCTGAAAAATGTTTCCTTTGGCTTACTATGTGTTTTTAATTTGTTTAAATGACTTTAGAAACCTTGGATGCAATCTACTCACTGAACTGAGCTATGGAACATTTCAAGCATGGCATAGAATGCAGTTTCTACAGAAGCTGTAAGTGCAGTAGAATGTAAATACTTATTTGTGTGTTAAAATCCATGCAGATTCCCCAACTGTAAACCCTGTGTGAACTGTGGGTAGTTTGTCCCATTCGTTCTTTTCCAATGAGGAAACTAAGGCACAGGAGGGCAGGAGACTTGTGTAAATTACAGGACACGATGAGCTTTCCTCATCCTGACCTTCAGCACGGGCACCACAAGTAACACCACGCGAGTAACACTGATAGGTATCGTCATGGTGCCCTCGTGCTGTGGCTCTGATGTGTGATGTTGTTTTTGGAAACCCGCTTGTGAGTTTCACTCTGATTCCCTCTCCCATGCACAGTTCCCAGCTGCTTGAATGGATGCCACATAGAGGTGCAAAAAGCAAAGATTAACACCAACTCCTCCAGGGAGCAAAAGGTAGAGGTGCTTTCCCAGAAATGGAAAGCTGAAAATTTTCCCAAGGACTTCTCCCCTCCTTATCCAGAACATTATTTCTCAGGACGCATATGCCTCTGAAGACATGCATTATCTGTGGGAAAGAGGCACCTTGACAGCCTGGATAAGAGGGCATCTGCATCTGCATTAAGCTATATGGTTGAAAATATCCATAAAGAAAATATGTTGCTCTATCCTGGCTCTATATAATACTTTTCTTCCTCAAGAAGAAAGTGAATTTTATTAGCTTTTATCTAAAAATCTGTGTTTGTCAGGCATTGTGCATATGCTTAAATACCAGCAGTTGCACTCAGGAAACAGAGGCAGGAGGATCGTTAGTTGGAAGGAGTCTTGGACTAACAGTAGACTAATGTCAAAAACAAAACAAAGCAAAAAAATCCCACTTTGTGTGACGTTCAGTGGCCAGGAGGGCATTATAAACTCAAGAGGGATTTTCTGCTCTGGATCTGAGTTTGGGTGGCTGTAACCTGTCTGGTAGGTCAGAAACCCAGATTCACAGTTGGTTCCCATGGGAGGACGGGTTTGTGGTGTGCCAGGGCTGGATGAACTGTTCTGTAGATGTTCCTTGCAGCAGTCTCCCCTCTGCAGAACGATTTGCTGACTCCTGACTTTAGGGAAAGGAACCAGAGGGTCTGGCGGGTTAGGAAAGACTCATGCAGGCGCATGGACTTGTTATCTCTAGTTTGTGTTCATCTTGGCAGAAAGGGAGTTTGCTTCCTTGTGATGAGATGAGCAGAGCTAACTGGTATTGGACATTGATAGTCACATCGTGTTATCTGAATGGAACAATGGTACCTCTCAGAATTCAGTCACCATCACAGATTGGCTCAGTGAGGCAAGCATAGTGTGTGCTTGTAAGCCCAGCTGCTCAGATGCTGAGGAGGGAGGATGTCTTGAGCCCAGGAGTTCAAGGCAGGATAGTGAGAACTCATTTAAAAAAAAAAAACTTGACAACAGTGGACACAACCCAAGTATGTGCTGGAAATGGGACTCCTTTGTTAGGATCCAATAACCCAACTCTTTGTAATAGATAAGGGAGTTTTCTTCAGGAAATATTTCTCATGGTAGGCTACAAACTGCTGCTGTTGCTGCTTTTGCCTTCTACCTCTGCCTTCTATCTTCTGCCTTATTCCTCTTCTGCCACCGCCTCCTCCTCCTTTTCTTCTTCTTCTCTTCTTTCTTCCCTCTCCTCCTTTCTTTTCTTTTTTCTTCCTCCTTTTCCTCTTTTTTTCTTCTCCTTCTTTTTCTCCTCATCTTCCTTCTCATGTTTTTTTCTTTTATTCTTCTTTCATATATTACATCCTGACTATAATTTCTTCTCCCTCCACTCTTTGTAATAGATAAGGGAGTCTTCCCATTCCTCCAACCCCTGCTGTCCCCCAGATCTACTTTCCCTTCAAAAAATAATAAAAGAACAGTCCTTCTGTGGATATCTACCGAAGATGACATAACAATTTGCAACAAAAGTAGCCATAAAGCCTCACTTTTTAGGCAGACTTATGAGAAGGCAAAAGAATCAGAGACACCCCCACTCCCACTCTTAGGAGTCCCACAAAAATGCCCATCTACACAACCATAATGTATGTGCAGAGGAATTAACTCAGTTCCATACAGGGTCCATGTTTTTTCATTCAGTCTCTGTGATCTTCTATGAGCTCTGCTTAGTTGACTCTGTGTACTGTGTTCTCCTGTCCTCAGCCCCTCTCGCTCCACCCCGCTTCTGTGGGGTTTTAATGGTGTTTGACTGTGTGTCTCTGCATCTGCTCCCATCTGCTCCTGGATGACTCCTCTCTGATGACAGTGGGTTAGGCATTGATCTATGAGTACAGCAGAATATCGTTAGTAATCATTTCATTGATTTTTTTTCCCAACACAGCCTCTGGTTTCTAGCCATCTAGGCAGTATCTAGTGTGGCCTCCCTCTTGTGGTATAGGTCTCAAATTAGACCAGTCATTCTTCAATTTGATAAGTTCTGTGCTACCACTAATTCAGCACATCTTGGAGGTAGGGCAGATTGTAGGTCAAAGGTTTTGTGTCTGGGTTGCCATCTCAGTTCCATTTCTGGAAGCTTTGCCTGGTTAGAGAAGATGTCTGGTTCAGGGTCCATACTTCCCATTCCTAGGAGTCATTGCTGAAGCTGTGTATCAGCTGTAGAAGTTCCCTGCTAGAATTTTGGGGTTGCTTATGTATACTATCATATTGTCTGTCAGTAGCAATACTTTGGCTTCTTCCTTTCCAATTTGTATCCCCTTGATATCCTTTAGTTGTCTTATTGCTGCCTCTCACATTTCAAGTACTATATTGAATAGATATGGAGCAAGTGGACAGCCTTGTCTTGTTCCTTATTTTAGTGGGATTTCTTTGAGTTTCTCCCCATTTAATTTGATGTTGGCGACAGGCTTTCTGTAAATTGCCTTTATTATGTTTAGGTATGTTCCTTTTATCCCTAATCTCTCCAGACTTTTATCATGAATGGGTGTTGTACTTTGTCAAAGGCCTTTTCAGCATCTCATGAGATGATCATGTGGGTTTTTTTCTTTCAGTTTGTTTATATGGTGGATTACATTGACCGAGTTTCGTGTGTTGAACCATTCCTGCATCTCTGGGATGAAGCCTACTTGATCATAATGTGTTCTTGGATTCGGTTTTCGAGTATTTTTTGTTGATTATTTTAGCATCTATGTTCATGAGAGAAATTGGTTTGCAATTCTCTTTGTTGAATATTTGTGTGATTTGGATATCAGGGTTACTGTGTCCTCCTAAGATGAATTTGACAATCTTCCTTCTGTTCCTATTTTGTGGAATAATTTGAATACTGGTGTTAGCTCCTCTTTGAAAGTCTAGTAGAATTCTGTGCTAGAACCATCTAGCCCCAGGCTTGTTTTGTTTGGGAGACTTTTAAAGACTGCTTCTATTTCCTTAGGGGTCATAGGTCTACTTAAATTGTTTATCTGATCATGATTTAACTTTAGTAAGTGGTATCTATCGAGAAAATTATTCATTTCTTTTAGATTTTCCAGGTTTGTGGAGTACAGGTTTTTAAAGTATGACCTAATGATTCTTTGAATTTATTTGTTATCTGTAGTAGGAGCTGTGGGCTGTGTTCCTGCCACCCGGCTCCCAGCTGCCTGGCTAGCTTATGCCCCAAAATAACAACACACAAACTGTATTCATATAAATACTGCTTGGCCATTTCTATTAATGTGTAGCACCACGAGGTGGTGACTTACCAGGAAGATTCTAGCCTACGTCCATCTTGATTCGGAGCTTCATCGCGTCTGCCCCAGAGAGGAGAGGCATGGCGTCTGGCTGACTTCCCTTCTTCCCAGCATTCTGTTCTGTTTACTCCTCCCACCTATGTTCTAACCTATCAGGCCAAGCAGTTTCTTTATTAATTAACCAATGAAATCAACAGATTGATACGACACTCCCACATCATTTCCCCTTTCTCTGTTTAAAGAAAAAAAGATTTAACTTTAACATAGCAAAATTACATATAACAAAACAGTTATCAAGTAAGAATTACAGTTACAATATTCATATCTATTTTATCTTTTACCATAACAAAGGAAAACTATAACTAACTAACCATTCTTCAACTCCATCAAAGACTCCAGAAGAATATAATATTACTTAAGTAAAGAAGAAGTAAGAAACTTCCAAAACTCTAAAAGTGACAGAGACATCTCGCTGCCTGGACAGTCATCCAAAGTTCTTTTGTACTGCTGGGGCATCTATCTTCGGCCTTCAGACCCATAGTTTTCAGCAGACATTTCCATGAAGCATAAATTTCGAAGGCACTTCAGTCACTATCTGCTGTGTCCTGCAGAATGTCTCTCAGACTCTTTCATGAATCAGAAACCCCGAAAGATCATCTCACCTTTAGGCAAATTCATCAGTCCTCTCTCTGCAGGTTTTCTGTGTCCAGTTTATGCAACAGTCCAGGCAAGAGTAGTTTCTTGCCCAATGGCTAACCAACTCCATAAGGAGTCTCTTCGATGCTCATCTTCTTCTTGAAGTAGATTGGTGCTGCCAGGAGCAGACGTGTCTCATTGTCATGAAAAGCCCTAAGTTATTAAAACATTAAATGCTATATTCTGTAGTCTTTGAAAGATATGAGGAATGCCTATCTGAAATATATCTATGCACATTTAGAAAATATAACTAACATGACTACAAGCTTGATTATTATTAATGATTATCCATTAACAACCTATGTACATTACATTTTTATATGATCTACACAATCACAATACCTTAATCAATATCAGAAATACATATACATATAACAAGATTGACCTTACATTTATATCAATAAAGTCAAATCCATACCAATGCAAATTATTCATATCTCTATCATATCCCCCTTTAAATGTAAAATAACATTTATAAACAATATTTGGGAATATGGACATAGTTATTTCTCCCCAAACTTCTTCCTGCTGAATAGGAGCGCTGTTCATCAGATCTTTCATGGTGTAACCTGTGTGCCAGGTTCATCTCAGTCAAAGGTGTTCACAGCAACCTTTCAGGAGGGCGTGGTCTATCATACCA